GCAAGCCGTGGCCGTAGGGGAGGACAGCATGGGAGTGCACTTACCAAGGTCCAGCTTCTGGCCCCCTGTGTGGAAGGAAAGAGAAGGATGCATGAGAAACACCTCATCTCTGTGGATCCTTTCATTTATTATTCATTTACTCAGTGTGCTAATGGTTGGCAAACAACCAGTTATGGGCTCCCGGGGTGCACCCCACACCCCCAGGACAACAAGCCCATGCCAGTGCTGCTTGCTAGCTGCTGCTTGCTTGGCTTTTCCCCTGCCGCTAAGCTTAGGCACACAAATCTAATGGTTTACAGCTGAAGTAAGAAAAAAGCTTCAGCAAATTAAGCTATAAATATCCCTGAAAGGCCCCAAGGAGATGCAGTTTGCTCAGGAGCCGTCGTGGCTCAGCAGTGCTGGTAAAGCTTCAACTTACCCACAAGGGTGAGCACCAGGGCCAGGATGAGTCCCTTCATGCTGAAAGCGACTGAAGACTGCAGGGGAAAATGTGCGGCTTTTATAGAAGAATTATTAACAGGCACAACGAATTTTGTTGAGTTATCAACTTTTTATCAACCACTCAAGCCCTTTGAGGGAGAGGAGGTTGAGGACAAAGTACCAGTTGCTGCGGCTGAGCCAAAATCATCACAAGCACTTTTTTCTTCTCACTTCACCAACCAAATGTGCTGAAAACACCTTTTGAAACAAGAGCTTAAAAATATTAAAGGGCAGTTAACATCAAAAACATTTATTCTGTAAGAAAAAAAAAAACCCAAACTAGTAATCGTTTTTATTCACTGGAAGCACCTGGTGCTATTGCAGCCCATGCCCAGGTTGTCGTGACCTGGCCCTAAGGCACACACCTTATCTAACTGATAGTGCCCCAGAAGGATTTTGCAAACCGCCCGGGAGCCCTCCGGTGACTCCCTGCCCATGCCCACCCCGCTGCCAGCAGGACAGGCTGTCACCCACAGCGCTGCTCCCTGGGAATTGGGAATTCACCCAGTAACACAAACCTCCTGCTGTTGCCACAAAGGCCATGGGTAAGCACCGCTGATGTTCATGCTTCCCTCACCTGCCTTCTCTTGCAGGACTGACGCATCAGCCCCTCTCACCGCCATGGTTGGCCACAGAAGGGTGTTGGGGAGGGTCTCCCTGTGATATGGAACGGGTGAGGCTGATGGGCATTACAGAACATACCTTTTGGTTTACAAAGACGTATAAAAAGTATGGGTCACCCAAACTTAGATCACGCAATGAGGGTCGCCATCTCCACCCCACGACGAAGCGCCCTTCTACCATTGGCAGGTGTTTTCCCTGTCCCTTGGAAGGCGGCCCCATAGCTCCTCGGGCTGCTCTCAGCTCCAGGGTTTGACCTGGTCCCCAGCTTCCCCTGGGCCCCCCGGGCACGGTGCTGAGCTCAGCCAGAGTGGACGGAGCCACCCACACCGCTCCCATCAGGACCCTGCAGGAGGGCTACAGCTGACTGAGGGCTTCCCTTTGGCGCCGTGCGGCCACCAGTTGCTCACCAACCTTCTCCTCTGTGGGTGGGGAAACAAATCTGCTGCCCAGGTCACTGTGGGAAGGGACTGGATTCAGTTGCTCATCAACAGATCAGTGGCTCTGATCCAAGACAGCTTAGTTTTCATAATGCTCTTTAGCTGATGTTTTTTTTATAATTGGCAGTTGGGTTATAATTTATAATGTCTGACAAACTGTGAATTTTGTTCCTAGATCAAAGATTGCATCTGTAGGCTAAAAAAAAATAAATAATAATTTGGAAGCATGGCAAATACTTCACCTAGTTTTTACCAGCACTACATTGTGGTCCAACTTTTTTAAACTGATGGCACATGATAGAAAAGCCAAGTCATTCACTAGTGAGTTGTGTCATTTCTCTGGAGATTTGATAAATGGCGAATATATCTGAAGGATTTGAGTATAAAGCTACTGGTGACTGGTAACTGAGGCTCAAAACTAATATCCTGTGGTATAGCTATACGCAGCTGCACAGCTGCGGTCAGCAAGGACTCGAGGTCAGTGGCGGTGCAAGCAGAAGAGTGCTGCTGTGATGACAGATTAAATGCAACAGCACTTGTATTCTGTGTCTCAAAATTATAGCACTAGATCACTGAAACACCAAACTATCAGTGACACCATGAAGTGTAACACTCAAAATAAAGGTCCTGCCTGGGGCTGTACAGGCTGAGTCTCCCCAAAAACCCTCAGCGCCCCAGCCTGTGGCTTGCAGAACCTCACTCCCATCCCACCCCCCACTTTGGGCAGCAAACACTGGACCCCCGGTCACCTCTGCCATGGGGCAGGATTGTCTGTGCCTCTGCTCCAGGTGTTGACAAAACCTGTTGGTGAGGCCTTCTCCTTTGGGCGTTACTTCATAGAATCACTTCTTCAGTATGTCAAGAATGATTTCAACTCTCAGCCTGTCTCCTCATACACTCACAGCCCTTTTGTGCTTCCTATTTCTCCGAAGAATATAACCTGAAGGAAAAACAGAAAAAAAAAAAGTCCTAAGAAAATTGTGAGGGTGAGGAACAGCTTTGCTGTGCCCAGGACAGCATTTCTTTCAAGATACGCTTGCCCCTCAAGTCAGGGAGAGGAGCAGGGGCTGGCTGAAATCTCCCCGCAGCCCTTGGCGAGGTGGACACCCTCAGCCCTCATCCCCACCGTGGTCCCATGGATGCTTCAGCTGCCCTGGTGGTTGGGCAATGCTCACCTGCAGGTCTCCTGCCAAGGCTTGGTGCTTTACTGCTGAGCTCGTCACACCCCTTGCACCTGAGCATGGGGGCTGGGAGATGAGAACCCCCAAAACTGTGCTCCAGCCTTGGCAGGCTGGGGAAAGAGGAGTCCCATGGGCTGGCCCCACCGGTGCTGAGAACTCATGCAAAGCCCCAACTTATGCTGGATTTGGCATCAGGGGTTACCCGGGAAGCCTGTGCTTCCCGTCACTGCTCCGTGTCACTTCCAAACAGCAAACTCACTGTCTCACTGATTTACTGCTGATGCCGAGTAGCACCAAAACACTGCCTGCTGCCAGCTCCCTGTCGTTTTGTAGCGCAAGGTATCATGATGGCATTTAAACTGTATAAAACTGTGTACTTACGGCTGTCTTTCAGATGTACTCCTTTTGATACTAAGGACATTACCTTTCTAAACTATAAAACTCGTGTCCAAACAATAAAATTCACATATGTACATCCACTGAAACTACCAAAGCTGCTGCCAGGGAAAGCAAAATGACACCAATTTTGAAGTATGTTCTCAAATGCTTTCAAAACTAGCCAGTGCGTACCTCTCCACCCTACATGTTGTAGGCAAGCAGCATTTTTTTCCTGGTTTTCCACTGATTTTAAAAAACAGGTAACTTGCTTCTCTTTTAATTAATTTACTGAGGATCTCTATTTTTAACAGTTCAGTAGGACCACATTCTGTTTTGCATTAAATATAAAAAAAAAGAATATGTATACAGCCAGGAATAAAAATGTGTGGATGTGTGAGAATTAAGGCATATAAACTTAAGAAAGTTCGCTACTATTTTACTGAAATCTGTGCAAATCTCTGATGACGTAAGCTGCCAACAACCTCACTGACATCAGTGATTATGTCTATTCCATCTCCTAAAGCAATTCTCTGAAAACCAACCCAACATGCATACATGGCCTGCAAGCACAGCCTTAAGGGCAAGCAGAAAACATCCTCCAGATGCACTGGAATCTGTTGGGCTCCAGCGCTCGGGACGGAGGAGCAGGTCTCTCTCTTTGCCCATGCAGACCTGCAGCAGGCGGGCAGGTGTTGACGCAGAAGTCACAGACACTGCTGAAGATCAATGTGATCAAGCAAATGCCACTTTATTAATGCACAAACGTGGTTAATATACAGTTCACAACATCCTTGTTTTCTAAATGCTCCATATTGATTGGCTCTTAACAACAAGCACACGCAGTCCATGCTCCTGTCCACGCGCTGTTTTCCTTTTGCTGATTCGCTCTTCGCTGCTGATCACGCTCCTGTTTCTCCCCACCTGCAGCCTGGGTTTGTTTCTGTTTTCAGTCACATACACCAGTCACAGCTCCTTGTTTTTGTTTGCTTCAGCGTATTCTCACAGCTAGTGACCTTCACAATGTCCTTCACAAACTCTTGTCAAGCGAGGCCTAAAACTTGTCTAAAAACAGGCTGCCTGGCTTGTTCAAAACATGTCTGCTGTTCTCTAAATATCCCACAGGCAGGAGGCAGAGCCCACCCGCTGATGGGGCCGCAGCGAGGGCTCACGCTGGGTGCGGAGGCTGTGGCAGCTGCCCCAAAGTGCAAAGGTCTGGCTCTGTTTTGGCGCCTTGGGCAGGCAGACGGCTTGGGTAACGCCACTGCGTCCTGTTCAAAGACCCCTGATCCGTGCTGGCTTCTGCATGTGGTGCATCAGGAGCGTAATGTGTTCTTGACTCCCTCAGAGCAGCCTTGACCAGCGACACGAGGTTCAGGCTTACTCCTTGATCTGGCTGTTCCCTACGGCACATGATGTGAGAGCCCCCCCAGCCGCGCTGCTCCTGCAGAGGTGGTTCGTTCCAGCTCTGCATGCACAGGACCCCGCGCTGGGGAAGAAAGCCCAGGGGAAAACAAGTGGGAGCCTGGTACCACAGCTACCCAACCCACATCCCCATGGGGCCTGACACGGACACGCGCCTGGGGCACAGAAGACAGTCACAGACTCAAGAAGGCTGGGAGGTGAGAAAAGGAACACAGACCTCCTCTTTCTATAACCAGTGAAATAAGGAAGGCTTCATATTTTTTCCATGCATGGATTTATTACGAAATCAGATATTTATGGGCAATCGTAACAGCTTCTACAATAATAAAGTTTAATACTTTAAATTACTTGGGAAGATTCCACACGTCCTTCGACACTTAATTTCATATCTCTATTATTCCTTAAAATGAGTTTTCTTACACCACACAATAAAAACATTACAGTGTTTATGTTTTTCCCTGTGCTGCAACGTACAGCTTCATGCACCACAGTCTTCGTTCTCACAGGAACATGCAATGTGTGCATCAACAGTGTCCTGGATATCCTCTGACTTCTGGTCAAACTTTGTCTGTTTGTCTGTCAGGCTGGTAGCTGAATCTGATGGGGAAGAAGAAATGAACAGACAACAGCATAATTCAGAAGCAGTTTTGCAAGTTACAGCATTTACTGTCAACTAGTCATTAATTACAGCAGGCTTGGCTTCTCCTCACTGGCTTATATATTTATATTTGTCTAAGTCACACAGAAATGTTCCAGGAAACCCACTTTACTAATAAGCCAGTTCTACCCTGAAAACTACCACTTCCATGCAGAATTTTATTAATAATGTATTTAGGAAAGGATACTACAGTCTTAAAGAAAAATCAAACTTGGAAAACAGACATTAACCTATCATCTGTGTAATCTATGTCTACCTTATCTAACATCTTATAACCTACAACATAGCCATAAAAAGACGTCCTTCTATATCACTGCACCTATGTGCAGGAATCCTGTCCACATCTCCCTAAATCAGCTGAGTGAAATAGGATCACACCCAAAGGCAGCGATTTATAAAAATATACAAGGCAAGGATCCCCGTTTCAGGGTGCTGCACACGATCAGATGTGGCTGAGGCTACAATACACAGTTTTTCAGCTGAATCACTGTGCTGTTAACCCTGCCCTTACCTTCTTAGCTTAAAGCACCATGAAGGGGAGTTCAGTTTAGATTTTAAATGCCGGTATAATGAAAGTAAAATTACAACAGAAAAACATCTCTCTCGCTAAAGGGAGTTTTAAATATTAATGAAAACAGGGAAAAGTCTTCAGTCAATATCCCAGTAAGTCCATCCTGGCCTGTCGATATGTTAGATTATACGTTTCAAGTGGAATAACTGAGCCAAGGCACAATCTGTTTAGACCTTTGTGCAGCTCCTATTCAGTAGGATTTCTGTTGACTTACCAGCTGGGAGACAGTGGAAACCAACAGTGACTGGAGTAGTCTTGGTGGCAGAGCATCCTTTCACACAGCGCAGCACAGGCTCTGTAGAATAGCACTTGGACTCTACGCCCGCAAGCTGAACCGTCTTCTCAAGCTTCACAAAGGAGCGGCGCAGTTTGCAGGCTGCAACACAACCGTTGGGGATTGTTTATTTGCTTGCATTCAAAAACACAGAATGCATTTGGTTCGAAGGGACCTTTACATGTTATCTTTGTGAATAAAAAGTCGAAAACATTTTAAGTTAAAAAAAGCAATATTTCATGGAGCAGATTGTTGCTATGCAGGTTCCTCCCTCCCAGTATAAGTAAAATCTTCAGATCTCCCCAGAAGGACACATCTGCCAACACTGCCAATTTGCAAACAACTGTCCTCTATGAAAACTATATTTTGATCATAAATGAAGCAGCATTACCAACTGATAAGCTTTTCAAGTCAGCTAATTAGATATGGAACTACAGAAAGTTAATTTCAAATGCAACTAGCTTATTCCTACATTAGCATGTAGAAACATAGTCTGATCTGCTTTCCAAGAAACATTTTTCAAAGTAAACTGGCTTACTGAATAGCTGGAAAACCACATTGGAAAGTGTTGAACACTCAGCAGTGGAAATAAAGGTGGCATTTCTGAACAAATAAAAATAATCACTGAAGAATTACGCTATTCAGTGTAGGCAGTAGAACATAGCACTGTCGTTCAGGCACAGAGTTGCTGCAGAGAGAGACCAAAAGTCTGCCAGCCAGAAATATCGCTCTCATTTTGGATTCCCAGGACAAGCAGTTAAAACTGTGTTAGAAGCTAAATTGACCACAATTTATTCCTGCCTGTAAACTTTATTCCTTAAAATTCCAGCCATTTCCAACAGATGTTAAATGGCAACACAGTCTGTAGTCGCTGCCAACCCTGGGAACAGCACTGTGTACGTGTGTGTGAACTGCCTGTCCATCTAAAGCAGGTCTGATGCCCAGTATTCTTGACAAAGGCGTAGAAGAAGAACAGTTAACACACAGCCAAACATGTGGAAGCCATCTCCAGGGGAACAACAAAGTCCTTCCCACCAAGACGTCTTTACGAAGGCCACGTGCCCGTTCTGCTCACAGCGCTATGGAACGCTGTTGCATCATAACCTCAGCTGAGACATCACTGTAAGATCCTAACCTACTCAAACCCTTAAAACACAGCTTTTTTTATTCCAATCATGTAATTAAGTCTCTGGAACTGCTCATGCCCGCTCATGAACAGTTTGCTTGACAGGTTGCACTGGTTCAAAAATCAGGTGTTCAGCCATGGTAGTAATTACTATTCCCCATCTGATTTTTTTGATGGGGCAAATGGTGGAAATTTGTGTCTGGAAAATGCTGTTGTGCTTAAATCAAAGCATTGCACGTGAATTTGTCCCCTCATTTTTTTTTTTGATCTTTTAAAACACTTCAAAACTGAAGTAAAGACTTTGTTTCAGCTTGATTATTTAATTTCAACTAACTTGTATATTTTGGCTTGTTTGCTTAACTTGTAATTTCTTATTTCTTTCTAAACTGGTAAGTGATTTCAGTACTTAATAGACAACTTTATAATGAATTCTTTTAAAATTCTTTCTATTTCTAGAATTTTTATAGATTTTAAGTTTTCTAAACAGATTCTATGTTTTCTAAACAACTGCAGTAATATTGTATTAAATTTATTAGCGCTTGCATACCTCCTGTACAAGGCTTTTCTTCCAGCATCCAAGAATGCCCAAAGCTCACTGCATCTTTAGCCAGATATCCATTGGGCATCCGATATTCCTGTTCACATTCTGCATCATATTTTCCACAAATTCCACACATTTTCCCTGCCATCCATAAAGCAACTTGAATCTTTGAGGAAAAAAAAGAGTCAAAACCATTTCACATTAAAAAAAGTAATACTTACGGAGCAGGTTTTTGCTCAGGTCCCTCCCTTCCAGTACAAGTTAATGTACAAACATTTAAAATCTCTTCAAATTCTTACTGAAAGGGTCTGAGAGTCAGACACCAAATTCCTGGGGTGCTGCAGCGTCTTTAAAAGTTACAGCCTTTAAAACCTACAGTGCCAGTCTAGTATGTTAGGTTATTAATGGTCTAGACTATTATTAGGCTGAAGCTTTGTCTGATGGGTGTTTTTATAATATAAGTGATAGATTTACACTTCCTACATTCCCATTTCACATTATTTTTAGCACAGCCTTTAAAGCATTGATTCATCTTAAAATAATGCCTGCCTTTTTGGCAATTTGCAGAATTACACAGCTCAAAGAACAGTGTGCAGGAGCTGAAAACTCATTTTCTGGTACATGCACTGCTGACTCAGTGTGCGTACACTCACAGGCCCATTTCCCAACATACACCTGCACTGCAAGAAGGTATTTTTGTCAGTGAAACTTTCTCTCTTCTGCTCAGAAATAACGATCAGGACTGTGCAATCCTCCAGTATTATCTTCGCTTTAAGTTTTTTTGGGCTCTGCACACATTTGGCTTTGCCACTGTGTACTCTCACACTCATATATACAAATTTCAAATAATTCTATAGAAATTTCTCAACAACCAAGCTTATGAAGAGGAAGAACGATACCTTGAATGTGTATCCATCAAAGTATAATTTATCAATGCCATAGGCTGGGGCAACAAGTTCAAGCCCTTGCTTTTCACTGCGGATCCACAGGGAAGCATCTAGAAGAAAACAAAATAAAGCAAAGCAAAACCAAACCAGACCCAACCTAGCTTCTTTAAGAAAGAGAAAAGCAACGCTCATGTTTCTAAAATGTTATTTGCCTTGAAATTCCTCAATTGTTCTATTCAAGAAACAAAACATAGAGCAAAACAATATAGAAATGTGTACATACAGAAAACAGGTGTTTGTAAAAATATGGAAAACACTTTTCATGATCCCAGATTTAATAATTTTCGTTTGGATTATTAGCATATTCATATTTATTTCTAGAAATTATTACAAAGATGTCCACCATATCTGTGTAGCCGTGCAGATGTACAACGCCCTGAGTACACTATGTTGGAGTAAGGGAATACCAAGAACACCGTGACTGTCACTGGAGCCGTTTCTAGCACAATTATCACTTCCCAGGTACATTACAAATAGGACAAATCTCAGCACTGGCAAATGCTAACCCAATTTCAGCAAGACTTAGCCTGATTCCTATAGTTCAGCTCTACAGTCAGGAAATACCTGCCTTGTATACAGCCCTTGAGTGCATAGCACGGAGTGAAACAAAGTCCTCCTCTACCTTCCACACAAAAAACTATTCCTGCTTGGAGAGGAGCAAACAGGCTATTTTACCAGTTCTTCATATTTATTCCTAGCAGACTTCAGAACACTAGCCAAATTTATATCTACAAATCAAATTAGGAGAAACATTGATAGACAAGTGTAGTGAGTTTTAGAAAAGAGCTGCTTCAAAAACTTTTAATCAGGCAAGATTTTATAGCATAACCAAAACACTTCTTAAATCCGGAACTCCAATGGGAGCTGCAGTAATGTATAAAAAGGAGGGATCTTCATGTTTGTTACATCTTGCTTAAATTGGCCACTTCAATAGCTTCAAACACTCATTAGTATTTCTAAATGTTCCTATGCAGGTGACTAAAACCTATGTGAAACTGAAACAGCAGATGCTGCATCACTTACCAGCAGATACGTATGAAACATTGGTCTTGGGGCTTTCAACCCCATCCACCCGCAGTTTCACCCATCCGTTCGCAGGTTCCATATCAATTTCACTGTTGAGCAGAAGAGCGTTCACACCCTGTTTGCATCATGTTCACACACACACCGTGACAAAGGCATTTTCCTGCTCATTAAATATTACTGGTCACAGCATAAGCTCGTTTCAGCTATTTAAATTATCTCAGGGGTATTCCTGTCACTTAAGATGCAGGATTACATCATCCGCATCACGTTCAAATACACGGAAAGTAAATAAGAGAAAGCTGAAATCCCATGGGCTGCTAATCAGTGCAGTAAAGCTCACATCTAAGCTCCTCTCATGTCAAATGTGGATGATGCAGTCCCTCATGCTCCCAGCATCTGGCAGGAGTTACTTACTGGCTGCCGAACTTGATGTTGATTTCTTTCAGGCTTATAGCTTCTTTAGCATTCCTCATCAACACCAGGAACTTCAGGTCAGAGCTGCAATCCTGAGCCAAGACGTGGTAGCAGTTTGCTGGCATTGTGTAGTTAAACTGAACGTCGTTAAAGGTTGTGATCTTGTTATAGGAAACTGAGCAGCTAGCTGGTTAAATAAAATGACAGAGAGTATTTGCTTTCCCATAAAAGAAAGTAATTAAATAGCATACTTTAATTTTATTGTTATATTATTTAACTTTACATTTTTTCCACTGTGTGACATTTTTTGCATGGATTACAGGGGCTTTTGGCTCCAAATCACCCACAAATCCTAAAAAAGCTATGGGAAACGAACTCCACTATTTAGCAAAAAATAATCACCAGAAAGTTTAAATGTCATCAGCTCAGCTAATTGGTATCTTAATCCCTGAAATACCGGTGAATTCTGTACTGTATGTGCAATATTATCTCCTGGTTGAACCACTCACATATTATTACAGGACATTTCCTAATTAGCTGGAGACAAGTAATCCCAGAAAAATTCAGAAGGTGCGCAAGTAACTTGTGAGACTGAGGATGCTTCTGAACCCAGTTAGCTCCTGACCTTTTAAATTCTCGAGCACTGCAGAGGGGGCCTCAGCAAAGACATTCCAGATGGGAGGCTGCAGCTCTGAAGCTGGTATCTTCGGACCTACAGGGAGTGACAGGGGAAGCCTCATGGCTTTTTCATAGAGGATCACCTGAAAAGGAATTCAAAAGCACATTCAAAACACACTTGTGCCAGGTATTCACAGCAAACAGCTGAGATCAGGTTTTCCTCCTATTTAGAATTTGATTTCAATTTACTCTACTTTAGTTGACGAAGACTTTATGTGAACACAACACATCTGACTCACTGTGCGTGAGTTTCTGCTTCTGCTCACAGTTTTCTCTCCTTGTGTCGGTCATCATTCAGATATTATTTGGGAGAGAGTGAACTACTCCCCTTCAAGTGTGGTTAGATGAGCACTTATGGGAATGTACATCATCATGAGTACTCCCAGCAGTCTCTTTTTCCATGAACAAAATCACTCTATGAATATTCTTAGATGTCATATAAAAAAGTTGAAAATAAACAAAAGTTGTTTTCATCATCTGCGTGCAAACTAATGCTTATTTAACTTTTCTTTCCAGAATTGACTCACTGTAATTAAAACACAATAGTCTCGCTTTTCTACTAGAAAAAAAAAAAAAGGAGAGTGATAATAATATTTCATTATTACATCAGGAAGCTTGATGACAACATCACATGTCCTTGGAGAAGTCAGGGCCACGATCACTTTTGCTTGTCGAGAAGGATTCTTGTCTGCTTTTTCAGAGAACCCCAGCATAAACGCAGCCCCAGGAACAAACTTGTAAAACCTTAAAAAATTCAGATCAGAAAGATCAGCTGAAATAGAGAAGCAAAAAGCAGCACACACCCAACCAGGCTGTCTTACATCCGTGTGCAAGTAGCATCCAGAGCCTTCAGGATCCCTGGTTAGGTGCCCATGATCACTCTCCGTTTTACTGATTGAGTGTTCAGTGAAAGGAAGGATCAGATCCTTGGTTTTCACTACTTATGCCCAGTATAAAGAAGTACTGTACATTACAACAGGATGGCGACAATCTTACACTCAGCTTTGATGTCCAAAGGCAGTACTTGGACAGATCAGAGAATGAAATAATAGCCAGTACTTTAACCACTAGAACCTCACGTGCAGATGCTGATTTTTCCCAGCTGAACCTCACCATTCTGCTACGGATCTGATGCTTGAAGGAACTTTCGGCCACTTCAGTTTCACTTGCACAGCAGGATGGGCAGCAAACCGCCCAGTGACCAGCTCAGTTGAAATCTTGTAGTCCTGGCAATTCCTGCCCCATTTCAGGTAAGCCTATAATGGAGAGAGAAATTGCCCAATTTTAAATGCATGGAGCATGGGTTTCCTGTGATACATACAGCTGTATATAACTATTTTTAAGCCTTACCACTGCCTTGTGGGCATTGAGGACTGAAGCATCAGCACAGAGCTTCCACTTGCTTGAATCTGTGAGGTTTGACACGAATACCTGCATCCGGGGCTTGATGGAATCAATATCGGCATATACCACAAGCTGGAGGCCTCCTATCTTCTTATCGTTACGAATGCCGTAAAGAAAAACAGCTAATACTGGTGTTTTAACATCTCCCAAAAACTTAGGCTAAGAAGAAGGGCAAGAAAGTATACAAAGAATATAATTATAAGAGAGTTACCGTGGAACATTTTAGATGCAAGATCTAGATGGATAAATGAAAAATAAGCAACTGAACTGCAAATATACACCAGCATATGTACCACACATACATACACGCCTATAAACTCTCATCCATACGTCTTTAACGTGCATGTGCCTCTGCACGCACAGATGGACTTTATCACTGTTTTATATGAGCCAAAATTTGTGCCACTTCCTGAGCTACAGCTGATACCATGGAAATATTCATATCATTAGGATACAGTAATAACAATGAAGCACAAACCATAGTCAATACCCATATATTGGCCATGAATGAAACTAGTTCAATCTGACTAACAACAGCAGCTGTCAGTCGCACGCATCACTCACCCTCACAACAACAGCAACCCCCAGCTAGTGTCCTCCTCTTCATCTGTCTGCCTGGTCTGTTGGCTTTCCCCTCACACTTCACCTGTGAGTTCTGTGGGACAGGCAGGTTTTGTGCTTGCACAGCACCCTAGCACAAAATATAGTCCAGGATACTGTCTTCAACATCTAAGAACCTCCCACCTTGACAGCAGGACCTTAAGTGCGCAATGACCTGCAATTCCTTCACCCTATCAACAGACTTCACTTGAGCACTTGCCACAGAGATCGAGCCTGCCCGCATCAGGCTTGGTGGTGGTGAGGAGCCAGGGTGCTACACGTCACCTCCAGAGCACACCCTCTGCTGAGACTCCTCTCAGCCTCAGCCTCCACCACCAATGTCCCTGCGCTGGCACTGCAGCACCTCAAATTCCCGCCTGGCTGCAGAGGGCACAAGATCAGTCTCTGCAGGCATCTCTTGGGTGGGATTCCCGTGAGAGCTGGGTTGTGGTGCAAGTAAGAAGGATCCTCATCTCACTACAGAGGAAAGTGTGTGTGGGAACTTAGGTGCCTGTCTCACTCTTGATGGACACCCAAGACTTGAGAGGTTGGTATTTCTCCCTCCCCACTACCCCAGCCGTACAATTCCCACAAGCACACAGCCCTCTGCCATTCTTCCAAACTGTCAAAACCCCCAAAAATGATGAAACTAACCCGGGAAGCAGCTCGAGATGAGGCATGACTGGATCTGGTAGAGGAGTATGTGCTGCTAAGTTGGTCAGCCGGGAGTTTCTTTTTAGGGAACTGCAAGAAGAAAACACCTCATACTCAAGAGGATAAGTTAAAACCATGCCTGAAGAAATTGCACAAGGCAGCGCTGCAGAATACTCTGTGTCATGGCACTTCGTGTCAGTAAACTTGCGTTCCAACCCTGAGCAGCTCAATGAATACACTTTGTCCTGCTTAGGTCATGTCATCTAGCTCTGGAAAAATCTTGGTTACCCAGATATATCCGACCCCTCAGAAAAAATAAATAAGGACATGTGTAGATGAGAATTCCCTGTGTGAAAAACCAATGGAGCAGAGCAAGTCAAACTGATTCAGCCTCTCGATTCAATATCAAAGATCAGAACTGATTCATTTTACTTCTGGAAGGGAGTGATCAACTGGAGGACACACTGGATGGATCAACTGAATGGAAAGGATCAACTGAACGGACACACACAGCTCCACTTCTTACTTTTTGAGGATGACTAATATCAAGTACATTGCCCCTGGCTGGCTCAAGCCCTAGTAAGAATCTTCTACTGAACTAAAAATACTATAAAAGAAGGTATCCTCCCATGTTTGTCAACATCACTGTCCTGGTTCGTATCAATAGCGATTTCAACCCAAGAAACCAAGGGATGAAAGTCAGGCAAATGATCCAAGCTCTTGATGGTAGGATCTTTGTGCCTCCAAAGTGTGCATCCCCAGTCCCTTGTAGGGCTTTGGTAGAGCTTTGCATCTACATTGCAGAGCCACAAATAGTGTCACGTGCGCTACACAAAGAACAACATAGCTCTGTCTTTACACATCTCAGAAGAACTACCATGGCTTACTTGGTGTTCTAAATGTTATCAGTACTGTAATTTTTCTCAGCAAAGACAGCTAGTTGCCTTTAACATTTCCATTTGGCTCACAACAGGTTCCATACTTAATTTAATGAGGAAAGAAAAACTCACCTCTTGTCTATGCGCTGATTTAAAGCGATACCCATAAATCTCATCATCTTCCTTTGAAAATGATAAAAAAAAAGATGATGAAAAATCCAAGAAGAAGAAAAATGCTGCAATTATACTGAAATCTGAGCACTAGGAATTAAGTAAGGATTTTACTAATTATCATTCATACATAGTTCTGCATGCTTAGTCACAGGCAGACGAAGTAAGACTTGAAGTAGTTTATATATAACATTAATGTCCCCATGTTAAAATTAAGATAGAAGCATGCAATGAATATTGACAGAAAGTAGCAAATTGGCAAAAAATAGTTCCCTGTCTATACTAAAAGTTTCAACAGTCTTGTGGAAACTTTTGAGATGCTTTGAAGCAGACATCTGAGACAATGATTGTGGGTGTGTTTGCAGAATAAATTTTGCGATTTTATGTTGCTAAAATTTACTGTGTCAACTCAATTTCCTGATCTATGATGCAAAGCTAGGTGCCATCAGGAATGTGATTCACAAACATTAGCAGCATCAGTCAATTTAATGACAAAGTTACCCATATTTTGGAATATCTGCTGCTGCCATCTTCCAGATGTCCTGAATGATGCCCATGGCTATGGTGACTTGATGACCTGCTACTACTGCTACTACTGCTGCTGCCGTTCAGATACCTTGAGTGATGCCCATGGCTATGGTGACTGGAAGACTTACTGCTGCTACTACTGCTGCTACTACTACTGCTACTTCTACTGCTACTACTGCTACTTCTACTGCTACTACTGCTACTTCTACTGCTACCACTGCTACTTCTACTGCTACTGCTGCTCTTGCTGCTGCTACTGCTACTACTGCTCTTGCTACTGCTACTACTGCTCTTGCTGCTACTGCTACTACTCCTGCTACTGCTGCTCTTGCTGCTACTACTCTTGCTACTGCTGCCTTTGCTGCTACTAC